ATTATGTTTAAGTTAAAACTTTTTAAGAGACTATAAATATACAAGTAATACAAAACAGTGCTAGAGAATACTGTGTAGAGATATTCATAGGTTGCTAATTTGCTTTCAAACTTGAAAGCAAGAAAACTTTTGTAAAGTTTTTTGGCTATGTTTTATAATGCAAAACATGTTTAATGCTAGTGTAGCTTGGTTACCATCCATACATGCAAAGTTCTTAAAAAAAATTCTATCAAAAATTATAGCTGGATCAAATGAAAACCTGGAGGAAATTTTCAGACTTAAATCACAGAGCAAGTAATGTGAAACAATAACACCTGTATTTTTCAAAAGCTTGTATTGTATCAGGATAGTGACTAAGCTAGTATATTTACCTCAGTAATACATATAAACTGCTTTTTGCAAACATTATGAATTTTTCAGGTACGTTTATTTGTTATTTCATAATTTGCATTAAGTGATGAACAACATACCACAAAAAACAAACTTTGTTAAATCCACAGAAAGTTGATGCTGGAACAATTAAGTAATCATTTGTATGGTTTTAGCTAGAGAAGTTCTAAGACTACTGTGATAATTGACGATATAATAATTACTAGTTGAAGGATGTGGATGCGGGGTAGTCCAGGATCAAGACACGGTTCAGACACCAGTGTCACAATTCCAGATTTAACAAATCCAGTGTTCTAGTAAGCAGAATATGACAACCAACATGAGTCCAGCCCCCAATTCCATTTCTATTCATCTTTGACTTTTCCTACACTCTTTAACTTTAACTTGAACTTTAACCAGTTCTCACATGTTGAAGGAACTGCGGGGCATGGTATTTAACAGACTTGCAATCATGTTATTGCCCTAGCACTGCACTTAGCTCACCAGAGGACCACTGTGCTAACATAAGTTACATCCTAAACCTTATTATTCAGTAATTACATGGAAACAGTGCAAACTGGCTGTGTAACTCTTGCAGTGTAACACTTAATGTTAGCTAGCATTTACATTTCCAAGAACCTGAGTTTTACTGAAATCATATGAAATCAGCATTTTGCAACCAAATAGCTGAAAGTACAGTCATATGCAAATGTTTGGACACTCCTGGCCATTTTCTAGTGAAAATAACTACAGATCCTCTACAGACAACTCACCCTTGCACATTACTTTTTATTTGCTGAATTTAATGTATTGGAAAAAAATTAACCATAAAAATTAGGTCTGTGCAAAAGTTATGGCCTTTTTATGTTCTGTTTTATTCTTTTCTTCTGTATGTTAAACTCAGCAAATGAACAGGCATTGTGCAGTAAAATTTGCAGAAAATACCATGTTTATGTGTGTATTTAAATTGTAGAGGATGTGTAAACTTATTGTAGAAACGCAAATCTGAATAAAATGTAGATAAACAGTGTATGTGTGATGATCCTCCACAGCATAATGTCTGAGGAGCAGAGACAGAGCATGCCCACTTGCCCAGTGAAACTGCAAACGTTTTTACTTTTGGACATTTATACTTTGGTAAACTGTGTGCTACACTGGTAACTGTAGGCTGTTGTGATTGCTACAGTGCATTTCCAACTAGCTTGGGTTTCATCCTCAGATCAATACTGTTGAAGAAACCTCTAAATGGGGCATATAATGACTGGGTGCTCTAGTGTCCCATTTCAGGCGCCTGCAGGCTTGTAGGACAGTTCTGCCAGGAAGATTCAGGAGGCAAAAGTGAAGGACAATTTTTTATATCCTCAATGGAATTTTACAAGTTGAAAGATAACAATTCAGTAGAATTAAGAGTCTTTGGCACAGGCCCCGTCCTTGGCCCAGGTCTTGGAGCGCCAAGACCTTCGCTGATCCTACTGGATAGAGACGGCAGGGGCGGAGCCTACCCCTTGGACAACCAGACAGGGACCCAGCTAGTGGTGGTGGGGCAGAAGAAAGGGCATGTAAAAACATAGGAACCTGAAAGCAGCAGAATGTGTACATAAGTCAAGTCATTTTAAAGACAGGTGTAGGCCCATGATTGGCCAGAAGTAATGAATGAATGAATTTCTTTGGTTAGGTTTCAGATTGACCAGAATTTGAAGGCAAAATTTGTAAAGTTATTGAGAATTATGTTGTACAGCTACAATTAAGAAACTATTGTCATGGGGCTATGCAAAGTATAAATAATACAATGATGGGTATTTAACAGTAATAGGCCTACTGCATGAAGAATATTAGATAGACAGAGACAGATAGATGAAAATGCACTCCTTCATTTGGTCTTAACCATGTGTTTTACACCAGATTTTATTGCGGGCACGCAGACATACCTGTCCAGTTGTGGAAGGAAAAAATTGAAATGAGAGATTTAGAAATCTTCAGAGCAGCAATTCACAGACCAGCTGACAAAAACACTGCTTACAAAAACTCCACCTGGGCAAAATGCATTCCAGAATATTTTAGATTTAGTGGTACATTACTATCATATAATCAGGTTTTTTTCTCCCAGTGTTTATGATTGTCTGTCATGTGTAAACTGGTGTTGTAGATTATTTAGTTGTTTAGTTATTTATCCTCTTAAAGTAAATATTTGTTTTCTTCAACATTAAGCTCTGCTCTGGGCCTACACTTCACGTATTTCTAAACAGACAGGAAATCTACAAGCATTGCAATATTGAGTAATAGAGACATGAGCCAAGGCCTTAAGCTGAATGGTTCCCCTCATTTTTTAATCTACAGTGTTCTGTGGTAATGAGGAATGTTAATGTGGCATCACAAATCCACAAACCCTTGGATTAACTTCATGAGGCAGTTTACTCAATGTCACTTGCTACTTAAGTGCTTGCCAGAGTCTTATATTGGGTTTCTAATTCATTTCCATGCAAGTATATGTATGCCACTAAAAAGGCAGGCCTGACTAAAGAGCCTACATTTAGCTAAAATCCCTCAGTTGCTCTGATCGTAATAACCCAAAATCTTTTTTTGCCCTAATCTGCTCATCTGCACAAGCCCATCATAACCCCCCCCCCACCAGCCACTACTGTCCATATGTCCCTGTTCTTGATTTGTAATTTATCTATCTCTCCCTACATTGTCACTCTCTCCCTACATTTTCACACGATCTCTCTTTATTTTTCTTTCCTTATCTTCAATCCTCTTGATAAACCTAAGAGAGGAAATGGAGTGTAGGCCATGGTGCAAGCATGTAGTTATTTTTAGTTTAGCTGCAACAACCCACTCTCTCCCTACATTTTCACACTCTCTCTCTTTCTTGTTCCTTTCTCCTCTTCAATCCTCTTGATAAACATAAGAGGGGGAAATGGAGAGTGGGCCAGGGTGCAAGCACATAGTTATTTTTAGTTTAGCTGCAACGGCCACACTGCTTTTTCTTCTTTTATTTTCCATTTACCTTTTGTCATGGAAAAAATGGAATAAAAAATTGTTTACCAATGTAAAAGTGACCTTTGGTTCTTTAAAATGAATAATAGATAATGCCTATTCAGTTAATAACTTAGTTACTGTGTTTATTTTTTTTTTTCATACATTACCTCATGAAAGCTTCTTGTCCACCATCTAAGGACACAGATAAATGCATGGAATTTATTGTACATTGTGGGAAGCCAGCTGTCTACCTGTTGTCTATTACTTGACTTCATGATCACTTAGAAAATAAATTATTAAAGAAAATAATTTATTTATGAAGATGCCCTTCATTTTAAGGATAATTACAATTACTTTCTTACTCGTGGTTTATGACATGAGTGGTTTTCATCAACAACAAGGCCTCAGCATGTGTGTATCTTTTTCAGTCCTGTTGGAAAATCATCTCAGGTTGCTCCTCATGAAACAGTTTGAGAGAATGCCAAAAGTTTGCAAAAGTGCATCAAGGCAAAAGAGGGTCATTTCTAAAATAGAAGATAAATATATATTTTTTTTGTTTAACACTGTTTTTGTATCTATATTTGTTATTTCTTTGTTTTGATGTCTTCACTATTATTCTAAAACCTGCAAAACAATAAATGTGAGGAAGCCCGTTCTGTGTGTTGATGTGTTCAGACTTTTGAGTCATATGATGCATAATATATCTAATGTCCAATGATGAGGGCTTCATTTCAGAGACAGGAGGGAGACAGGTATTCTTGTTTTGCTTGGTATATGACAATGTGATAAAATATCAAATATAACAAACATGATCAATAATTACAAAAAATAAGATTACAAAAATATTCTGTGATGCTGAAGAAACATATTAAATTTTTTTAAATATGTTTCTTCAGCATCACAGAATATTTTTGTAATCTTATTTTTTGTAATTATTGATCATAAATATACAGTATTATGCAAAAGTTTGATCATCTCTGCTCAGATTTCAAGTTTTGTTGATTTTCTAAGTAAACGTAAGTTATCACATTCTCTCAAAGGGAACTTAATGGCAATTTTCTACAAAAGTTCATATATGCGCATATTTATTTGCTGAGTTTAACATATTGAGAAAAAAATCAAAATGAAATGTAAAACATCCCAAGACTTTTACACAGGCCCCACCCCTTCAAAATAAACAGCTATTGTGCATTAAAATGTGCAGAAGTGTGTTTTCTGTGGAGGATGTGTAGCATCACCCTGATTTTAAAGGAACATGGTTGTTATCAGAGACAAGGCTTCTCTACCAAAAAAAGCGCTAACTCTGTAAAGTTGAGGTAAAGCAAGGTCATGTTAGTGTTTTCCTGGCTCCAACATACTCACATAAACTCTGAAAATCTGTTATTAGTTATCTGATAGATAGATCAGGTGTATTAGAGCAGGGGAATCGTCAAAATCTGCTTCTGTTTTAAGCCATAAGATGTCATAATCAAGCATTATAGGCACAGCTATTGTATTTCTGTAAACTCACTAGCTTATTTTCACTTAGAATAACAACAAAACATGTAACCTGAAAAGGATGACTATGTAATTTACAAACGATCTCTAAAATAAAAAATGTAAGGTCCCAATAATGAGGGCTTCAAGTCAGAGGGAGGAGGGAAGGATAGAGGACGGAGCTGAAATCCTCGCCTCCCCGCCCCAGCAGAACAACTACCGCAACCACAAAATCAACCTTTTCTACGGCTACAGACACTGCCAGCCATAACATAGCACTGGAAATAATCCATATTAGACAGATTTTTTAATGTTTATAGGCCTATAACGAACCAATAGACCTGTGAGGTAACTGATTTACGATTTAACGAAAGCATTTCGTTCCAGGGATCAAAATGCCTCTCATGTTGCCATCACAGGGGACGTCAGCTGCATCCTGTGTAGCACTACTGGTAATTGCGGGTGAGTGAAAATCGGCGTCTGCTCTCTTAAACAATAACATTAGCCGTCTTTTTTGTTGCGTATAGCGTTTTCAGTTTTATTTCATGCGGACGTTGACGCATCAGTGCGCGCTCGTGTGTATGTGTGCGTGAGCGTTTCCAGACGCAGAGATGAAAGGTCGTTATATGTACACAAAGACGCGCGCGCGTGTGTGTTAGCATTGCCAGATGCTGAAAATAAAGATATGGTCCAGAGATCCCCTACGTGACCGCATTTCTGGCCAAAATATCGGTCATCCAGAATCACCCAGGACTGTGCCTGACATAGCCATATTATTCGAATGGCGTCATGCCGCGTCATACCTCTCTCCATATTGCTGACAAATGCCAGACAAGTGAAGTGACATGTAGTTCGATGAGACGGGCGGTGATAAATGTAACATATGTGTTTAATTACATTGCACTGTTTCAAGTCTGCATGTCATAAGAAGATGTAACGCAGCAAGCTATACTGATATGGAAGAGAGCTCGGTCACCTTTAATCAGAAGCAAGTGGGTGCCAGTCTAATTGCAAATGCTTCAATTAGTCACGTGTACAAGAAGGAAAACCAGGCTGACCGTTGCTCTCCCGTTACTCTTAGTGAGGTCATTCACATGACGCTCAATTTTTTGGTCAGCATTCATTGACATTAAAAAGCATTAAAGAAAAATATTTGGCTTGAATATATCTTTTTTTTATGAGCAACGCATTTCACATTCTTTAAAACAACATCTATAAACTAGTTGAACATAACTGTACATTAGTGTCCTTTACAATAATACAAACAACATTATATTTGTAAAAACTAAAGTTTAATTTGAAGAATATCTTTCAAAGCCAGAGTTCAAGGTCAAATATTAAAATGAAAATGCCTGCCAAATTATTTGAAATGTTAATGTCAGGTGGTGTAACCTTTTATCCCACTTGTTGTAAAATCTCTTATATAAAGTATGTCTTTGAAACTATTGTAATTCTTCTCCTAAAGTCCTACTATTCTTAGATATTTAGTATCACCCTCTTTGTAAAACAACATGATTGCTGTCAGAGATAAAGCTTCTCTACCAAAAATAACTAACTCTTTAAAGTTGTGGTTGCTAAGCATGGTCTCGGAGTGCCCCTACCTTACATGTTAGTGTTGTCCTGGCTCCAACACACCCACTTCAACTCTGACAGCTGTTATTAATTAGCTGATTAGATAGATTAGGTATAGCGCAAGGAAATCATCAAAATTTGCTGGACTGGGTTGGAAACCACTGTTTTAAGCCATAAGACGTCATCATCAAACTTTATATGCACAGCTATTGTATTTTTGTAAACTCACTATCTTACTTTGCTAATAGGTAAGACTTATGGATGTAATGATAATACAGTACTGAAGAGAAAAAAGAATACTGAAGTCTAAAACTTTCTCACCAATACATCTCTCAGTCTCTTCCAAGTGTGTTTTTTTATGCCAAAAACTGATTAACTGCCAGTAAAAAAGTTACTCATCCATCTCTAAGACTCTAGTGTACTATTCCAATGGGACACATGACTGAACGTTAAAAACTGCTTACTAGAAGCCGATATTAATACAGCATATAATGTCAGTCGTGGGCTGGAGGTTAGGGAACCAACTTTGTGACCAGAAGGTCGCTGGTTTGATCCCAACAGGACAAGACAAGACTCAAGAAGTGCCCTTGAGCAAGGCTCCTAACCCCCAACTGCTCCCTGGGTGCCACGGATAGGGCTGCCCACCGCTCTGGGCAAGTGTGCTTACTGCCCCCTGGTGTGTGTTTTCACTAGTGTACATGTGTGTGGGTGTTTCATGGCACTGATGGGTAAAATGCTGAGGTCTAATTCCTCTGTGTGTAAGCACAGTTGGTCAATGTTTCTAAATTTAGAATTCAAGTTACATGTCATATTACATGTTTTGTTGATTATTGAGCAAAAATAAGTCAAAAAGTCAATAACACATCCTCTACAGGGAACAGTCCTAAATATGACATTTACAAGTACGTAAAACTTACTTTACACATGAACAGTAGGTCAGTGGTTACAGCGAGTTGACAGTTGAGTACTGACTGTCAGAACTGATGTCAGAAGCAAATTCTGAACAGCAATTGATATAGGACAAAATTAGATATGTATGGAAGAGGCCTATCAACTATTTTAATAAAGAAAATAATTAACACTAAATGTAATGAATGTGTGAAGCCTCATAAAGAAAAACCTTTTGGGCAATGTAAATACATTCATTTTTGCTTGTTCTGAAAATGGTACAGTAGAGGTTCCCCAATGCTGGTCTAGTAATAGACAAGGCTGATCATATGGTAGCACACATTTTATGCATTATGGGAATTTTTTTAAATAAAGGGCCATCTTTTTGTCACAACTTATCTTTGTATCATAGGCACATGAACCATTTTGAATGTAGAAGGATTTCAGTTTGAATTTGTCATAATATAGGCAAACAAATGGTATTGTTGATATCATGAACAGTTTCTTCAGTCATTTACTAGCTGTGGTTTAAGATCACTGTAGTTTGTTTGACCAGCCACTAGAGGGCAGCTTGCCATTCCACCTACAGTCCTAATAAGCATAAGCAGATGGGCCTGCTGTGATGAACGATGTAGCCATCATTAGGGCTTCCAGACTGGACAGCAGACTCAGTCATATTAACATAGCTGTGGGTCTGCAGTTCAAGGATACTGCCATTCACCCACAGTCATAGTAATGGATTGTACACTCAGTTAATGGGCTAATCCCACTTAGGTCAAGGTGTCTTATGCCACTTGTCCATCAGTGGCCTCATCAGTAATAAATCAGTGTGACATTGCTTGCAATCCTAGTGCTCTGGGTAAAAGTTAGCATGTCACTGATGTAGTTTTTTTACTCATTTCCAAAAAAAAAAAGATAATAATAATAAAAATTACAATAGAAGGTTCTATATTAGAAGTGTGATCAGAAGCAAGTGGCCTAACACTTTGGACATGGTTTAGAATGTAATGAATTCTGAGCGCCACTTGGCAAATGCCACAGATTATGTTCACAATTTCACTCATTTCAGTTGTTTCTATAAATAAATATCTGTTAATATTGAAATTTTTAACTGAAAATATGTTTGAAGTGTTTGTAAATAGAAACAGAAATCACAAATGTAATAGGTAACACTTTCTATGAATGTCACCTTTGTAAGCATCTATAAACACATGTATAACATGTTATAAAGTATTCATAAGGCACTATAAACATGGTTATAAATATTTATAAAAAAAGAATTACACTGAATTACACTTTATAGTCATGTTTATTATACATTATGAATTGTTAATATAATGCATTATAAATAGTGTTAATAACATGTTATAATGTCAGTGCCAAAGAAGTCAGTCCCAGCTTGGAGAACGTAAAGACAAATACCAAGCTAACGGTGGTGTACATTGACTTTCCCACATTGGGTAAAACACTGATGGCAGCACTAGTTTAAACTCTGACATTTGAAGCCTGTAATGTGCTTTATTATGTATGTTTTAGTGTTTCAGTAAATCCTTCAGTAAATACTTCAACTTGAAGCCTCACTCTTAACACTGGAGGAGGCTTTAGTACAGTATGCTTCACTTTACTTAGAGTGGACTAATACAACTTATGAGCTCTTATAATTTGTTATGATCAGTACTTATAATGTATTATGTTAACAATTCATAATGCATAATAAACATGGCTATAATGTATGATGCATTTTTAAAAATATTTATAGCTATGTTTATATTGTCTTATGCATGCATTATAACATGTTATGAATGTGTTTATAGATGCTTACAAAGGTGACATTCATAGAAGAGCATTATGATGTGCATGCACACAAAGGGGATTCTTCAGAATACCAGAATTGTCAGAATACCAGGCAACTATTGTCTAAAATGGCTGCCCCCTGCATCAAGGTACATGATTGAGGTGAGAGAAGTTTTAGGGATGTAATCACAGATATTTGGGTGACTAGTGATGTCTAATGTTTCTAGAAATGTTACTCTTGTAGCTCCAGAGCTAATTTAAAAAAAAGCAGAATTTGGACACCAAACTAGGGTATGTGGAAAATTGTGTAAAGTATTATTACTATTCATTTTTTTAAACTATTCCTTTAAAAAGCAGTGTCATGCAACTCAATGCATAATCACTTTGGCGGACAAGAGCACACATGCATTTAAGCAAAAGTACTCACCTGAAGTTTTTTGTGCTTATCTCACCTTTTACCTTGTTCTTGAAATTAAAAAGGAGTGGAAGACACAGACAGTGAGGGGAGGGTGTGCAGACTGAGCTTGTGGAGGGGAGGGGAGTGGAGGGGAGGGGAGGTACACTGCAGTATTTTTTCTAGTACTTCTTCTGCTTTATAGCACCATTATAATTGTGGATTCCTTCAGTTTCTCTTCAAAAAATAGTCAGCATATATGCATGTAAACACGGTTAAAAAGACTGATCTACATAGATGGTATAGACATGTATAGCTTACTGGTTTTACCTCCTTAGTTTATAACAAATTATTGGTCAAGGAAAAACATTCGCAAATTCAGTTTTAGTAAAATGGCATGGTAGATGGCTGTGTTCTGACTGAACAGTATGAGAATGGGGAGCTCTTGGGGAAATGCGCTAAATATATACATGAAGGTGAAAGAGTGGGTGGGGTGACATTGACATACTGCTGTTATTGAGTAACACACCAACCAGAGTGTTGACTCTGCATTTGTGAGTGTGTGTCTGTGTGTGCTTTTATTAATATGGTGCAGGATGTGATGACCTTACACAGTGCTGTACTATGTGTACTGCAGATTTGTCTTGGGAGACAGAAACGTGTCTATGTGTGTGCGTTCAGGACAGGTGCACATTTCTCCTTAAGAGGAAGGACACTTGCTTTTTCTAGAGGGAGGGGCTTAGCTGAACTGCAGCACTCAAGGAGAGAGAGCGAGAGAGAGAGAGAGAGAGAGAGAGAGAGAAAGAGAGAAATG